TAGCAGCTCAGTGGTTTCATTCATTTCACAGGCTTTGGTACAAGAGGCAACACAAATGGTTGGTTTAAAAATTGTATCTGGAAGGGGTAACATTGTTCAATGTCTCCCACCACCAACCTATAAGGAGTCAGATGTATCTACATGCTTATATACCAGTGAATTTCATTTTATCAGTGATGACCCTGCCTGCTGTCTTTGCAGCTTTAATAATATTCCATTAGAAATGGTCAAGGAAAGATTGATGGGATCCCAGTGGTCATCTATCAGATTTAGAGGTATATTAATTAAGAATTATAATAGCTGCACATGTATCTCACAGGCCACTAGAAGAAACTGCAGTAGAAACTTGAAGCAGAAAGTGAAGATATGGCAACCCATCCTGGTTAATTTTAATTAAGTTATGTATAATATATTCTGATACAATGAAAAAATATGGGACCAATTCCAAACTGATTGAGAAACCAAGACAATAAGTGTAAATTAGGCCCATTCTTGGAAAACTGGAGTCGTGGTCACTCTCCTAATTATTTTAATAATAGTATTTACTGAGAATCCATTACATATCAGCTGTTCCACTGAGATGTTTCCTCCAATTGTTTAAATTGATTGTAGAAGAACTATCAATGTGGATGTTTGTAGTTAAAATGGGTTGATGAACCATTCGAAGGTATTAAACTGGCATTTTGGAATACAAGTTTCTGAATTATGACTCAAACCACACATGTACTGGGGAAAAACACACACACACACTCACACACACAGGAATGGTCAAAAGTAATTAAGAAACATATAGTTTAAGACTGAAGGCCAAGGATGACCTTCCTTCTCCCTAAACCCAAACCAAACTGTACTAGCAGTTTACGCTAAAATATGTGAGAATGCCTGATAGTACCAGTGTCTGTGTTAAAAAAAAAAAAAAAGAGGAAAAAAAAAAGAAGGAAGGAAGGAAGGGAGAGATTCCTTTTTATATAAGGAAATAATCTCTCTGAGAGATTAAGCAATATGTCCTAGCTTACATGGCCACATGATTAGAAAGTATCAGAAATAAGGTTGAATCAGCTTTATCTTTTCACTGAATCTAAATCAACTCTGTCTCTTGTAATACTGCCCTCCAGACCTAACTAGGTCTATCTTATCCAATTTCAGAAACTGAAATTCATAATTGGAAATGTCCTAACATCTTAAATTATCCCTTGCACACATACAGGATAGGGGTTTCTCAGCTTCTCATGAAAAGTCTTGAGAACTCTTCTGGGAATTCTTAGCTAAAAGTCTTGAGAACTCTTCTGGGAATTCTTAGCTTCAGCAAAGCCTCCTGGGGAGAAGCTGCTGGGCTCTTCAAAAAGGGTCTGTGTTTTAATCAGGGAATATCTGTGTAGCTGAGCTACCACCCAGTTCTGAGTGGTGAAGTATGCACTTCAGATCCCTCTCTCTCCAACCATTGATGCTTAGTAAGTATTGCAAGGAATGCAGAGATTACTGAGACACATACAAGCAGGACCGTACACTGAGCTTTCAGTTTAGCTACTTGCTAACTCCCCATAGCAAATGAGTCAAGAAAATTTTGAGTGACAGCTGGACTGAGGATAGGAGACCTGCAGATCTAGTCCTAGTTTTGTCTCAGTGTGTGATCTTGTAAGTCTTCTCAATTATTTGGTTTAATCTTTGCTGCCTCTTATCGCTTTTCTCGACATTAGTTTCTTTATCTTTAAAATTAAAATTGTAATCTCTACCTTCCTTACCTTAAATTGTATTATAATAATTAAATATTAAAAAGGTTTGACTGTGCTTTACAACAATCAAGCTTTATGCTAATACAAGGTCATGATTGTCCTTGGGAGTAATTTTCAGACTGTCACCAACGTAGATACTGATAATCTTAAATACCTTTGTGTGCAATTATATGAAGAATGAGTCAGAGGGAGTCAGAGTATGATTTAAATCACTGTTTAGTTCATCTCTCCTCTGTTCCTGCCATAGACCCTAGGATGACATTCCTTTATCCTAATAAATGGGAGCTGAAGAGAGGATTAAGAGTATATGATATTGTCTAAGTGGAGGAATTCGTTGACACTTTCTCTGATCCATTAATCTGGAGGTAAGTGCCTTTGAGAAGAAAATGTAGAGTTCCCACACTAAAAATTATTCTGTTTAATATTTACTGCATCTCATCTCTTTTTTTATCCACTCATTTATGCATTTATTCAGCAAACTATGCCAAGGTTGCAAGGCTCTGGTGACAAATAAGGTTGCAAGGTTCTGGTGACAAATTCCATCTCTGTGGTGCTAGTTATGACTTGTTTTGAGTTTTTTGTTTTTTGTTTTTTGTTTTTTTGCCTCCCCATACCTGGTGCACTTGCCTTTTACTCATACTCAAAATATAAATGCAAGGAATATATTTGGAAAAGAGATAATAACTGAGATGGAATACTATGGATAAACTTCTCACTAAGCAGGCAGAATGATCCTTCATTGTTTGGAGATATAGGAGTGAAATAGATGACCTCAAAATGTTTTTTCTATTTTACAAACTCAGAAATGGCTAGTGTGAGAGATAGAAATCAGCTTCCTTGTGAGTCAACTGACTAAAAGATACACATATATTCAAACTCTTGTTTGCATTTCCCCTTAATTGATGGAAAATTTTTACTTCTTTATTATCATTCCTTTTAAACAATCTGTTGCCATTTCCTCTCTCAATTATCAGAACAAGATTGCATTGTTGCCTATGCTAACCACAGCATGCTCTCCAAATCCTGAAATATTCCCTTTTTCCTTCACAGCCTACTTTCTTTCCAAGTCTCTACTTCTCTCCTTCAGTTTTCCTCTTTCCTAGCTGTCCCTCTTTATGTCCTTTCCTTGCTTCTCCTTTGAGGGATTTTATTACTATATCAATTATTATATTATTATTATTACTTGTTTTGACTTGAAGTGTAAATGGCAAAAGGTGAGTATGGATTTCACATCTTCTTTTTATCATCGGCCTTTCAATAACCCTCTATCTTAATAATAAAAAAAGGAAGCCTTTTGAAAGAGTAGCCTCAACTTTCCATCTTACTTCCTTAAAATACCCTGATATTTTAATGCATCTTACAGATTTTCTCTTAGAAGGAAATTACAAATAATATACACTTTTTCCTTATTCTTCCCCACCCACTGATAATTTAAGCCCTTATATCTTTCCCAAATCTATTGAAATATTCTCTAAAAAATTAACAATGACCTCACCATCATAAGTGCAGTACCTTTTTAAAAACCCTCATCCTATGTCATCTCTTTTTTGTAATTAACAGTGGTGACTTGACTTTAGTGATATCACTACTAGTTTCCTCTTGTTTCTCTGATTCTTCATTCTCTGTCTCTTTTCTAGTTTTATTTTTATGTCTAACTTTCACTTAAAATAGTTTCCAGTATTAAGAACTTAGCCCTTGTCTTTCTTTTCTACACTGCATCTGCTCAAGCCATCACTCAAACCAAAGATCACTACATATAACAGCCTCTAGACACTCTCTCCAAGAATTCTTTTTTAAGTTTACGTTCAGAATGTTCCAAACTAAAGTCAATCCCCTGAAACATATTTCTTCTCTATTGTTACCCATCTTGGTCCATCTAATGTTACGTGTATAATGGAAATGGCTATCCATAGATGTGCCAAAGTACAAACATTACAGTTTTGAAGTTTTTTAAGTTAATTTATTTTTTTTAATTGCTTGACTTTTGTAAGAGCTAAAGTGCTATGTAGTAGTAGGAGGCGGGGGAAATATGATGTGGGAACAATAATATAGACTCTGGAGTATATAGTCAGGGTTTAAATGCCATCCTCAATATTACTCACTTTGTAATCATACTCAGGTTACATTACCTCTTTGTGCCACCCTTTTCTCACCTGTAATATGATCCTTAGAATAGAACTTATACCAGTGTTGTGAGAGTTGAATAGCGTAATATATATCAGGGACTTAGGAAAGTAACAAAAATATAACATATTAAAGGAGTATTAGCTTATAAGCTTTTTATACATATGATAGTATATTAGTCATACCATATTAATATACATTAATCTATTACAGTGTGGCTTGCAATTGATGTAATTGAATTAAAATTCCAAAGGCAGAAGTAAAGGAGAGCCAGGTCAGTTATTATAAGGACAGACCTATACCTGTGTGTCATATTGATCCAGCCCCAGAGGCCTTGCTCACTCTGAGAGCCTTAAGATTTAATTTCCTCATTATAAGCTAAAGACTAGAGGCTTTTTCCTGGCCATTTCAGGTTTCTTTTTATTTGTGTTTCAGATTTTGTGCATAGCCCCTCTGCATCCCCATGTATACATCTAGCCCCAGTTTAACTGCCCTGATGTTAGAAACATATATCTCTCCTGATATCTCTTAGAATTCAAGCCTAAAACACCCTTTCCTAGAATTACTTGTTTTCTAAAGACTTTGACACTTTTCAGACATTTCAGGTCCAGACTTCAGATATGCATACCATCATTTTCCTTCTCAGAATCTTTTATGTAGATTCAGGAAGGGCCTCATTCTCATCACAAGTTATAAGTTCAAGGAATTCAACCAACACTTACTCAGTACTTCCTCTGCATTTCTCTGCAGACTAGGCATTGTATAATGAAACACAGTCCCCAGCTATATTATAAATACATTTGAAGGCATACAATATGTACCTGATAGTAGTAAACACGTATGAAAATGATGTGTAGTATCAATTCTCCTTGTATATGATACAGATTCTGAATGCTTTACTGATTGAATTGCACATTTTTTTTTTCAGAGAGAAACGCATGAAAACAGTGCCATCTGAGGTGACCTCATTGAACTACTGAAAGTCCAACACTGGTGGATATACCACCATAAGACTAAAACACGTGGCATCCACAAGATAGAGAAATCCCCTATGAAAGTCTTCTTCCTAGGCCCTTCCATTTTATCTGCAGATCTTTCCTGATTCTCTGTATCCAGGATACTTAGGTGAGTGATAACTCAGCCGTATCACTTTCCAAGAGCCCTATTCTATATTGTAGGTCGGTGAATCCGAGATTATAAAGCCATGACAATCTTTTATAATAGCAGCCTCCAAAAAGCCACTTTCTTCCTGACGGGCTTCCCAGGTCTAGAAGATCTCCATGGCTGGATCTCTATTCCCTTCTGTTCCATCTATTTGACAGTTATTGTAGGAAACCTTACCATCCTCCATGTGATTCGTACTGATGCCACCCTCCATGAACCCATGTACTATTTCTTGGCTATGCTGGCCCTCACAGACTTGGGCCTTTGCCTTTCTACACTGCCCACTGTACTAGGCATCTTCTGGTTTGATGCCAGAGAGATTGGTATTCCTGCCTGCTTCACTCAGCTCTTCTTCATCCATACCTTGTCTCTTGTGGAGTCTTCAGTTCTATTGTCCATGTCCGTTGACCGTTATGTGGCCATCTGCAACCCGTTGCATTACTCCACAATCTTGACACCTGCACGTGTTGTCAAGATGGGGCTGATCTCAGTGCTTAGAAGTGCCCTGTTCATCCTCCCCCTGCCATTCCTCCTGAAGCGCTTTCAGTACTGCCGCTCTCATGTGCTGGCCCATGCCTATTGTCTGCACCTAGAGATCATGAAGCTGGCTTGCTCTAGCATCATCGTCAATCATGTCTATGGGCTCTTTGTTGTGGCCTGCACGGTGGGTGCAGACTCGCTGATTATCTTCCTCTCCTATGCCCTCATCCTCCGCACTGTACTAAGCATTGCTTCCCATCAGGAGCGACTTCGAGCCCTCAACACCTGCGTCTCCCATATGTGTGCAGTGCTACTCTTCTACATCCCCATGATTGGCTTGTCTCTTGTGCACCGCTTTGGTGAACATCTGCCCCACATGGTTCACCTCCTCATGTCTTATGTGTATCTGTTGGTACCACCTCTCATGAACCCCATTGTCTACAGCATCAAGACCAAGCAAATCCGCCAACGTATCACTAAGAAGTTTGAGTTTGTAAAATCACTTAGATGTTTTTGGCAGGGTTAGGTTAGGGTGAAGGAAGGCAGTTTGGGGCACAAAGCTCATAGGTGTTTTTGTTTTCAGCTATGCTGTGGGAAAATAACAGACTCCCAATCATCAACAAAAAGGGAATTAACTATGCAACATAATGCATGTGCGACCTTGGGAAAATTACCTACTTCCCTGTTCTTTGGTTTCCTCAATTGTAAAATGAGTATAGATGTTGTGAAGATTAAATAATTCCTGTCAATCTCTAATACAGTGCCTGATAATCAATTCTCAACAAATATTTAGACTACCTGCTATTTAAACTTTTTGAACTCTAGTTTCCCCACATATACTAACATTTGGTATTACCGAGGCATGTATTATTGCAGTAATAGAAACAAAGAGACAAAAAGAGGTAAAATAGCATGAGAACTATACATTGTAGTCACTAGGTAAATATAGATGGGTGAAAACCTTACTCATACCATAACTAGGATGTGCAGGAGTAAAATGTTACTTATTTTCTTTCTAAATCACCTGTCCTCCTCATAAACTTCTACCAATCAATTACAACAAGAAAATTGCAATAACAACAATAAAAAAACTGAATTTTTAAAAAAATAGTGAATTTTTTTTTAAAAAAAATCATTTTAGCATCAGTTTCTCTCAGTCTAATCCAATAATATTTCCTTTAGGTCATCCACTTTCTCCTAGTTCCATCTCTCCTCAAGGTATCATCTTTGTATATAAGATACTTCCTTCTTTCTCTGCTTCTTCTCTTAACCTGGTTTCTTTTCTCCACTCTTTTCTGGACTAAAATATGTGAGCTTTTGTATTATTTCTTTCCATATCATATTCTGTTTTTCTCTTACAGAAACTTCATAGCTAAGATTTAAAACAGGATTATCTTCCCTGTAATATGATAAACTCTCTGCCTCTTCTGATCAATGTTGAGAGATTAATCCAGTGTCTCCCCCCATATCCCTCTCTCTCTAGCTCTCTCTTTATTTTTTTCCATAATATCTGAGATTCAAATTTATTTTCTTACAAAACATATCTAATACTATCTTTCTCTTTCCAGTGCTTAGACTCAGAGGCTATAAATAAATATCACTTGTGAATGGGGGAAGTATTATTTATGTTATAAAATATTTATTAAATAGATAAAAAAATGAGTGACAAGATGTATAAATAAACAGATTTTATAAGCTGAATTGTGCCCCCCTCCCTCAATAGGGTTGAAGTCCCAGTGCTCAGTATTTCAAAATGTATTTGGAGATAAGGTCTTTAAAAAGGTGATTACGTTAAAATGAGGTTTTTAGGGTGGGCCCTAATCCAATATGATTGGTGTCCTTATAAGAAGAGGAAGAGACACCAATGACACTCATGGACAGAGAAAAAGTCCATGTAAAGACACAACGAGAAGGTAGCCATGTATAAGCCAGGAGAGAGGTCTCACAAGAAACCAAACCTACTGACTCCTTGATCTTGGACTTTGCTAGCCTCTAAAACAGTGAGAAAATAAATTTCTGTTGTTAAAGCCACCCAGTCTGTGGTATTTTGTTACTACAGCCTTAGAAATTTGATACAAGAGGTAACTATTTTGGAATGATTTCTAGGCTAAAAGTGAAGATGCATTTTTAATAAAAATTCTGGAATTGCAGTTGAAAACAAATCATAAAAACAAGGATATATGAAAATTCCTGTGCCTTTGTGGTTGTCACATATGTCAGTTTCTGAGTCTGTAAAGATGAGGCCCAGAGATCTGCATATTGGCAAATATCCCAGGTGGTTCTGATCCTGATCATCTGGGGACTATGATTTGAAAAATACTGTTTCATAACACTCAAATGTGTATATGCGTGCAACCAGAGATTGATGGAATGTGGCCTCAAGAGGAAGCCCACCATATTCCAAAGGGACCACTCAAGTCAATGAATTGGAATAATCTCTCATGATTAGATTGGGGAATCTGGAACATTCCTTAATATTTATACCATTATATTCCCAAAGAAGATCCAATAGGCCTTATACTAATTACTTGGGTAATAAAAACACTGAAATGGGCCTTCATTCCTTTCTAAAATGTCTTCTCTATCAAGTTTCAGAGTTCAAAAATAGGTGATTACTCTTCACATTCCTGTATTAACAAATAAAACTTCTTTTTGGATTTAACTATCCTTTGCAAGGGCTCATATTGCCCTCAAGAATAGATTAGTTTCTCCAATTAGCCCCTTGATGTCAAGAAACAAAGGGTAAAGTTCTGAGTAGATCAGAGACGGGAGGAGGAATTATGTGGGCAGGGGTCAGGAGCGTGTAGGGTTACCCAGGGCATCAAGAATAAGCACCAACACTATCACAGTATTTCCAAGAACTTGGCCTGACTTCTTGTTCCCTCTTTGGTAACATGGAAAACCTTAATTAAAAAGCCCCTTTAGAAGTTGCATATTATATATACCCAACATGCACACTGCCACATCCAATATGCGTAAACTATACAATTATAGTATATCATACATAAAACACCATCAACAACACCCATTCTGCTTTCCTGAAGTTGTGGAGGTTGTTCAAGACTTTTACTGGATCATTCAGCAGGTGTTACAAGTGCATGGCATCCTTTGGGCTCCATATCTAAACATTTAACAAGACCACTCTCTTCTACTCTTTCTCCTATCCCCAGGGTCTAAAATAATGAGCTTGAGGGAGACAGTCAGAGTAGGGAATTGATTAAAGATCTTTAAATGGTTCTCAATAGGAACCTCAGGCAGTTGCATAAAGATCAGAGAGTTAAGCATCCAACCTCTAGTCTCTCCATAACCCCCAGAGCCAGAGCTTCTAGTTTTAGCCTTCCTTCTTCCCTGATGTAAGTCCTGGAGCCTCTAGACCTAACCTTAGTGCATCAAGAGTCAATATAGTAGACAGGTGTTAGATACTGAGTGACAGAACTAAGAAAAGGTCCCAGAAGGCCAAGCCTGGGCTTTGCAAAGAAAGAGGAGAGAAGGGACTTTCAAGTACAAGAAAGGCTGTAGAGAGTGCCTGCCCAAGGTGGTGACTGCTGCAGTCATATCTTGCTGACTTTATGGAATCCCAGGTCCATTTTTAGAACCAGCTCAGAAAGGAGACAACAGCTTCCTCACATGTTCACGGCTTGGATTTGCTAACCTAAATGTTTCCAAATTTTCAAAATTTGCCTAGGAGCTCCAGAGATTTATTTGAATTCCAGCTCTGCCAGTGATTGGCTGTATGACTTTAGGCACATCATCCAATTCTCTAAGCTTCTCTCTTCTCATTTGCAAATTGAGGTAATAATATTAACTTGCAAGTCTTTTCTAAGGTCTCACGCCGTTTTGTTTTTGTTTTGTTTTTGTTTTTGCAATGTTCCTGGTAGAGTGTCTGACAAATAGTAGATGTTCATCAAGTATTAGAATTCTTTCTCATCACCCTACTTTATTTTCATGCCAGAAATATTTTCAGCCTTAGGTTTTATTAGTTATATTGTTAATGACTGTATAGTTTGCCTGTCCCTACTAAGCCCTTGATTTCATGCTAGATACTGCTAGCTGACAATGAGTTGTCATTAATGTGGGAAAAAAGTATAACGGTTGTTTAGAGTCTGGAATCTAGAGAAAAATCAGATCTCAGTTCAAATCCCATTTGGGCCATTTACTATATCTTTGATCTTAGAAATGCTAATTTTCTCTAATTCTCTGTGTCCTCATCTATAATGTCATACTATTAATAGAACTTTATTCGCAGAGTTCTTTTAAGGAGATAAAATAAGGACCAACTTAGTAATAGCTAACTAAATAAAATTTAACTCATTATCAGACATAAAAAAAATTGATAAGCACATACTGTATACCAGGGCACATTCTAAGCACTTTTACAGAAGTGAATAAAGCAAAACCCTGCCCACTTGCATCTCACATTCTAGTGGGGTTATTAATAAGGAGTGGGAAGATCACTGCTCTGGAAGTCAGGAATCTTAAATTGACAGATAGCCTCTACCCAGTGACTATCCCCTCCTGAGCCTTCCTTTCTTCATCTGTAGAAGAATGAGCCCTACCAGCATCATTGCCTTTTGTTCTGTAGACTCTCATGGACTTTCCTTTATGATTGGGGTTGTGGCCATGGTTGATGATGCTTCAGTCTCTCCTCCCACCTATGGTGACAACAATTGATTCCTAGACTTCTAGGGAATGTCGGTTACTGACTAGTGTGAGAATCAGAACTTTGATCTCTCACTCCAGCCATCAAGAATAACATTACAGTCATTCACACACTCTCCAGTTCTCTCTGGAATTCTGTGATCTGAGTAGCACTGATGAGCTATCTGGACCAAGCTAGGCTTCTACAGCAAGAAAACCAGAGAAAAAGGTGAGTGAAGAATTTGTGTCTGATCAATTATATGTGGGTGATGGAGTTAAGCAAAAAGACAGAGAGAGAGAGAGACAGAGACAGAGACAGAGAGAGACAGACAGAGAGAGAGACAGAGAGAGAGAGGGAAGGAAGGAAGGAAGGAAGGAAGGAAGGAAGGAAGGAAGGAAGGAAGGAAGGAAGGAAGGAAGGAAGGAGATAAAGGAATAGCAAAAGAAGGTAAGAGAAGAGAAAAGAAAAGTTGAAAGAAAGGTTAAAATGTTAGTGAGAACCCTGGCAAAAAAAAGAGGCATGTGAGGAATATTTAATTAAAGGTCTTCTCATAGTGAGTAGGCAAAATTAGGTATGAGTAACAGGAATAATGAAGATGCTCAAACTTCTTAGCCTGAGGAGCAAGGAGAAACAATTTCAAAGAAAGTAATTTCTCTAAAGAAATGTTGAGAGTGAACCAGGGTCCAGAAGGAAATGACCTCTGAAGCAGCTATACAGTTCTAAGTTTAATCCATTCTAATCTTATTTTTTTTAATTTCTCCTTTTTCTTAATTCATTTTAGGAATTTGGAAGGAATCCAGCTCCCCACTTCTCTCAACACACAATGACATTAGGATCCCTGGAAAACAGCAGCAGCATTTCTTCCATCTTCCTGTTGAGTGGCAT